CCCAAACAGGGGGCTCTGTCGTGACAGGTTTGTCCAGCATCGCACCTGCTTTGGCGGTTAGACGCTCTGCTTTTAGCCTGGTTATGGAGGGCACCAAGGACGGTTGGGTTGGAGAACGATGAAAGGTAAGGTACTACAGCTGCTTACTCCATGCCTAAGGTAAATCTTCTTCTTCCTTGCCTCCTTTTTTTGGCGGCTATGTATGAGTATTTATAATGAGTATTTATAATGAGAATTTCTAGGGATTTGTGTAATTGAATATTCCATAAATATCCATGTTGACTTGTCCATGCTATAGATAGAAAGGCGATTAAATATGGTCAAATTATTTGAGGGCTTGATTGCACGTGAGGTCAGTCATACAGCTGGCAGGTGACATCAGCAGTTCGTTAGATCTGCTTCAAACTTGCAAAATAAATCTTGCCTTGGCAAGAAAAATCTGTTCCTCACTCTCTTTATCTTCTGCACTGGCCCTTGCAAAATATTTTGTCACGGCTAAAATGTTCTTCCTAAGTCATTTCCTACACACACATAACCCACAAAAAAACCATTCTCCTCAGCAGCATCAGTTAAGCCAAATAAATCTTGCCTAAGCAAAACTTATCCACCACATGCAAATATGACTTAAATGCAATACGTATATTATGACAACAATGTTTAGACAAACAATAACTTAAGTAAAAAGACTAAAAATAGTCTTTTTTTACGGAGTTATCATCCGAAAAGATTGATGTTCACAGGCATTAACCCTTGACTTGGAGTGGATAATTTTATACCCTTTTTGGTCCCCTCCCTCGATGATCCTTTCATCGTTTGGAATTTACCTTTGGCTTAACACTTGTAATTGAGTTAATTTTACATACTTCTTCCTCTGAATTGTCATCTTCTTCGAAAATGGTTGTGAGTTTTTCAATGTGGGGGCAATCTCTTGCAAATTGTCCCTGCTCATGGCAATTGAAACAATGGATAGATTGGATGTACCCCTTCTTTTTTGACTTGTTGCGTCTATAGGTTCTTTCTTTTGTAGACTCCTCATCATCACTTGATAGGCTTTGTTCTTGGCCTTTATCTTGGTTTCTATTACTAGGACCCTCGGCTTTTGATTTGAGAGGCTTGGGTTTTTTACACCAAGTTCAATGAGGGATTCGACAGTTGTCAAGGCTTTAGACAAATCTTTGACACCCCTTCTTTCCAACTCGTATTTGGCCCATGGCTTTAATCCGTCCATGAAGGTGAAGAAACTGTCCTCTTCGATTAGAATCGAGACCTATAGGCTTAACTCAAAAAATTATTGAACGTGCTCCCTTAGATAGTCTTCTTGCTTAAGACGCCTTAGTTTTGATCGTAGTTTTGATCGTGCCTCATTCTCGACATGATAAGGGTAAAATTGCTCTTTGAACTCAGCTTGAAATTCTGCCCAGGTTCCAATGGTGGTGCAATCTCAGTGAATTTACGTTGCCACCATAAGAGTGCTAAATCAGTTAGGTAAATAGAAGAAATGTTTACTTTCTCAATATCATTCTCGATGCCCATGGCTAGAAAGTATTGATCCATTTTCCACATAAAATTTTTAACGTCTTTGGCCGACTTAGTCCCTTTAAACTTTTCTGGTTTAAAAACATCACCCCGGCCTTTAGTGGCACTGTTTAGCATGTTGCCAACCACGACAGCCTTGCACAAGGCCACCTCGATTTCAAGTTGCTCGATCTCCTTCTTTAGGTTTTCAACTTCGGTTCCGAAACCCTGGTTTTTAAGTTCTTCGACCTCTTGTGTTAAGGCCAGGATTTGGACTTCCAAAGCATCATCTTGTTGAGAACTCTTCACATCTAATCTATTGAGTGCAATCTGTACATCCTCTTGGATATTCTCCAAGGCTTCAAGCTTCTCGAGATCTAGTGATCCTAGCTTCTCAATATCGATGGATTGTAACAGATCCAAAACCTCCTTAGTCTCTCTCGTAGAGTCCTCAAGTCTGGTGATCTTACTTTAGAGCGATACGAGCATGCCTTTTGACGTTCCTTGCTTATTCTCTATATTGCGAGTCTCAACGCCCTCAAATGCTACTGCCTCGGCACGTTGTGAAGCCATCTCATCTAGTCACGAAGATGGCTCCGATACCACTTTTCACAGGGCTAGACTATCGACTAGTTGGTCAGTACAGCCCTTAGATACCTTGCTCGGTTGCTCAGCGTCTAAGTTAGCCTAAATTCATCGATTAATGTTGCTATAGCGATAAACACGATAGAAAAGCATAAAAACGTAAGTAAGCGTTTTTTGGCATGAATGCCTGAGTTTATTCACACAAACTCTCTATATCCAATGGAGGTGGGGAGGCCTCCTTTTATAATGAAGTCCCCTTACATCTCATGACTACTCTTAGTCTAACTAAAAGTAAAACTCTTTACTTTAGTTGAAAATCTAATATTTGAGTCCTATTCAAACAAGGACTATGATATTTGGCTTAATTTTCCAAGTAATGGTCGGCCTGGCTAGGTAGACAAACCCTAAGTCAGTGTTGGCCTCAGCCCTCAATGCACCCTTGGTGTCCACAGGCCTCAGCCTTGTCTACACCCTATGTGTTGTCCTTACCCCCAAATAACCCCTTTTGTGCATTAATCTCGGTTCTAGGCACACATCCGATATGCTTTGGCCCCGACCCCGAGTGTGTCTCGTTACTTGTTGGCTAAAGCCCTCGGCTAACCTTGTCGTGCGTTGGCCTATGCTCTAGGTGCACCTTGGTGTGCGGTGGTTACGACCCTTTTTGTTTGATAGTTGTGCTTGTAGGTAGTTTGGGGTGGGTGTGTCTTAACCCTGTTTGACGCTGTGTGTGCCTTGGTCTCAGTGTGGCCCTTGTGGGCCACCTGGACGACGTCTGTCACACCCTAGTGGGTGTTGGTCTCGGCACCACAGTGGGAGCAGCCTACTTTGTGTTGGTTGCAACCCCACGGGTAGTCTTTTGTGAGCCGGCCTTGCCCACACGTTCGCAGCCCGTGACAATATATATATATATATATTAAAGTGTGAACTTTTTTAAAATTGCAAAAACATTTGGATGTTTGGAATATTTAGTAAATGGTGATTTCCATTTTCTTATTTTTAAAAGTAACTTGTCCAATAATAATGTAGGAAGATATATACAGATATTAAAAGTACTATTAAAATATTTTTTTTATAACTAAAGAATGGTTATGGATTGATATTTTGAATAGAAGTGTCAATATCGTTTAACCATCAAGGTAACATGATTATTTGTTTAATTATTAACACTTTAATAATTTTTATTAAATTAAGATAAATACAAAGTAATATTTGTTTTAAACTTTAGTAATATATTACATTAATATTAATTACTTGGTATAAAACAATTTTATTGATGACCACCATGTCAATATATGAAATATTATAATTACATATATTTTATATTTTTATCAAATTTTTAATAGATTATTTATATAGTTCTCTAGTGAAATAAATACATAAACATCAAATTATTAATTATAAAAATATTATTAAGTTGTTCATAAAAAAATGAGTCGATGAAATTATGCATCGACTATCGTCATCTTAATAAGATGACAATAATGAACAATTATCTCCTTCCGATAGTACTCAACATGTGTGTTCAGTTAAAGGATACTTGTTTGTTTTCTAAGGTTGATTTAAGATCGAGATACTATCTGCTGAAGGTTAAGGAAGTAGTTATTTCAAAAATAATCTTTCGGATTTTGTATGGTCATTAAAATTTCATGGTGATGTTGTTTGATCTCATAATGTGTCAAAAGCATTCATGAACCTAATGAATAGAGTCTTTCAACATTATTTAAATTAATTCATGTGATCTTTGTTGATGATCTATTGTATAATCACAATCAGAGGATGAGCATGATCATCGTCTCCGAGTTGTGCTTCAAACTTATTAGGAGATATGACTTTTCGTCAAATTGAATAAGTGTGAGTTTTGGTTATTTAAGGTGACCTTTGCAGGTCACATAGTTGCATTAGATGGTATCAAAGTTGACCCACATAAGATTTAAACTATGATAGATTAGAAACAATCAAGGAATCAGGATGGAGTTAGGATCCAATATTGAGGGGACCAAAATTATTTTATATCAAAAGAATAAGAATCAAGTAAGTATTTAAATCTAAAAATTGAAAGAGGCAAAGACCCTATATTTAAACTAAAGGGACTTAAAATACTATTATACCAAAAATTTTGGGTAGCTTCGTCCCTACAGGAAATGTTATTGAGGTTCATATTTTCTTGGGTTTGTGGGATATTATCATTGTTTTGTTAAGGTATTTTCGATGATTACAGTATTTATGAATAAGTTAGAAAACAGTTCTATTTAGAATTTGGTCTTTTGTTAAGACGTCAGTTCTAACTCAACCGAAGTAGGATGAGGATTCTGTGGGATTCAGTGGTACATCATTGAATGAACTTGGGTGTGTACTCATGCATGAGGATAATGTGATTGTATATGCATCTAGACAGTTTAAACCGAATGAACGTAATTATCACATCTATTTAGAGTTAGAATTAGTAATCTTTGCATGAAAGATTTGAAGACATTACCTATATGACAAGAAATATTACATCTACACTGACAAAAAAAAAATTTATCTACTCGCACGAAAAGAACTAAACTTAGATTATTATTGTGTTATCGTCTAGGTAAGGCTGATTTAGTAACTAATACTTTGACTGACAAATTGATATCAAATTTGTTTGTCAAGTTTGCGAGACTGAGAATGAGGAGTTGTTAGTCAAACTTTGAGTTGACCCATCTCTCCTCTATGTACAACCTTTTTTTTTTTTTGTCGCGGTTACTTTTCTACTCTTGCAGTTTTCTTCCTCTTTTCACCATTTTTTTTCTAAAAAAATAATTCTCTTATGTTTCATCTTCTTTAATATGTTTGTTTTGTAACAGTATATTTACCACCATACATTTGGGAATGGTTTTAAAATTCAATGAAGTATTGTGTGTATGTGTGTGTATGTGTGTGTATGAAGCTGGCTCTCTCGGCTTGATGCATCCAAAAAAAAGAGGAAAAAAGCAAAAGCGGAAAGCCAATTAGTAAACAAAACTCAACAAAGGTAGAATGAATGTTGAAGACGAAAGATGAGAGTTCAAGAAGCTTTTTCATATTTAGCCTTCACAGCCAAAGCAGCTGCTGCCATCGCCCCCGGATCCGGAACTGTCGCAAGGATAGCCGCTGACACATAGCTTGACCGCCCTGCCTGCAATATCCCAACATCAGCTTCCCACTTCAATCAAGTTTTCTAGCCAACAACATCCAACCAAAAGAAACAGCCGAGTGCAATCAAATCAAAATACCAAATGCTAAACATGGTGAAGGCAAGATGATACAGAACCTGCGCCTGCATGTCTTTAGTTGATTCAGCTCCTGACAATGCTGCTTCGGATGAAAGAACAAATGCAGTAGAAGAATCATCACCAGCAGCTAATCTCTGCTTGCAAAACAAAATTCTTAGCGTGAAATCTTAGGACCGGATCAACAAAAAGGAGCAAAATGGCAATTGATCTATATTACCTCCTTAAGAACTGACGATTAAGAGATACCATTATAATCCTTCCCATCTCATACCTTTGAAACATATCGAGGTGAGCCAAGACATGACTTATGAAGAAGAACTGATCAAGATCTTGGCAATGAATGTTAAGGAGGTGAGGAACAAGAGGAGTCCTCTAGTGAAGGTTTTGTGGATGACAAAATTTTGGGGACAAAATTTTGGGGACAAAATTTCTATTTTGGAAGGGAGAGATGTAACTCCCCAAATCTCAGGTTATGAGTTTCAAGCTAACCCGATAGGGCCTTGGATAAACCCATTAGCTTATAGGGAACCTTAGTCCAAGTTTGAGTGGAATTGAGCTTGGATTGAGCCTAATTAAATTTAAAAATGGCATTTTTTATTTGTGACCAAAGCTTGAAGGACAAAGAAAGTAATTTACCCAGTTTAAATGGGAAAGGGTGAATCCTTTTAAATGTTAATGAGGTCATGAAATACCTATTTCTCTTCCTACTCTTCTTTTTCATCTTCTCTTTCTTCCCATAAGACTCACCTCCTCTTCATAGATTGAAAAAGGTGTAAACTTTGTTGACCTTTAATTCTTGTCCAGTGTTGCAAAGGTAAGAAATGAAATCACCATCTTTAGAGCTTCTATTTAAGTCCACAAAATCAAGTTTTGGCCATAGTGACTCTTAGTGGGGTTTATTGGGGTTTAAGAAACTTAAATGTTCTAGTCCATTTTTAGTGAATTTAAGCCTTAGGAATTGTCCTTAATGTAACACTCATATTCTATATACGGTTATGTATACGAATACGAATGTCACATTACTTAAAATAGGGTATTCTGGTTTTGAAAATCCTTTATAATTTTGTTGCAAACTTAATTTCACATACTTAACATCATAAATACAGACTCATTAAAACATAATACAAAAAATATTTTTGATATATTTGATTACATGTCAAACAGGTTCCAAAAAGGGACATTAAGGTCCTAATGTTACTGGTGAGTCAACCTTAGTATATGATGTATGCGGTTACAGCTTCACTCCTTACTTGATGATTATCTGCTGTTACCTACACGTGGAAGTACACATGATAAGTATACCTTAGTGAATCATGATATAATAAATAATCCTTTGGTGTTTTAAACATATTTCATTTCCCATTTATCAAAACCATTTGCCATGATTCTTCCTTTTAATTTGTAACCTCCATTTATGTTTATAATACATCATTATGCATTTTAAATTCTAACATCTTTTCTGTTGATAATGCACCCATATGCATTTCAACTATAGTATACTTTTATGTTGATAATGTACCCATATACATTTCAACCATAGTATACTTTTCTGTTGATAATGTACCCATATTCATTTCAACTCTAGCATACTTTTCTGTTGATAATGCACTCGTATGCATTTCAACTCTAGTACACCTTTTCTGTTTATAATGCACCCATATACATTTCAACTATGGCATCCTTTCATGCCAATAATGCACTCGTATGCATTATTCTTTTATGTTGACAATATACTCATATACATTTCATCTTTGCATCCTTTCATGCCAATAATGCACCCATATGCACTATTCTTTTACATTCGTTTTAGAGCAATTCATACTCTAAAACCTCATTCACAACATCAATTTCATATATTCTATAATACATAATAATTTTGATAAAATATACATTTACATATAAATATGACATTTTGATTAACTTTTAATCATATTCATCTAAATTACATAATATAAATGTACTCATCTGGCTCGCCTTGCTTAGCTATCCAAAATGAGAAGATAATTATTCAGGAACTTGGCCTTTGCCTTTCGACTTACTCGACTCAGGAGCTTGTTTGAAATCTATTCCACATTCATTAAAGACATACATAATATCAATTGTTAGTATGCTTCCTAACAATTATAACTTAACATCAATCAACATATTTCTTATTAACTTCCTATAACATTATCAGCCCTAACTTAACATTTATAACCCTTAGGTATCGATACCCCCTGCTTATGGTATTAATACTACCCTATTAGGATATCAATACCCCCTTAATGTATCAATACATAAATTAGTTTCGATATATCTTGGTATCGATACCCTCACCATGGTATCGATACCCCTATGTTATGGTACCGATACCCCTCTAGGTATCGATACCTAAATTATATTCGAAGTTTACTGGTATCGATACCACATTGCTTGGGTATCGATACTGGTTGAATCAGTATCGATACCTCTTATACAATTTTAGCCTAATTCTTGCCTAGGGTATCGGTATTGTTTCATAGGGTACCGATACCCCTACCTAGATTTTCCAGTTTTCCACTCGAAATTTACCCAACTTTGGGCAATTTTCATCTCATTTACCCCTAACAATACTATATAACACTTCTCTAATTAACCTTACTAACTTTCCTTCATTTAACCACTTAAAACATCTAATATTCCTCAAGAGCACTCAATTTTAAGAATCACCATAATTTCTAACTTGTTATTTCACTCAACAAATGCTTCTAATCTTTCATTTACCATCTTGACAAGTCAATTTTACCAACAAACATTACTAAACCTTCATATATTAACATATCATTATAAAACTCATTTTCTTTAATCTTTAATATCTCATTCTTAACTTAGTTTTAATCCCCTATAAACCTTTATTAAGTTTCCCTCATAGGCAAGGATTTAATAACTAACAACAATTGAAGGAATAAATCATTAATTTGGAAACTTACCTTTAGCTAGGGTTGAAGGTCTCTCTCACGTAAAAGAGGAAGAAAAAAGAAGAGAGTATTTTGACTTTTCTTTTCATCCTCTTTTATTCTCTAATATATATATATCTACTATAATAAATGAATTTTAAATTCATTTATCTCCAAATACCCAAAATGCCCTTTTAATCTTTCATCACTACAATTTAGTCTAAACTACTATTCCTACTTATTCTCATCTTTATCAATTAATCAATTTCATCCTCCATATTTTTTAATTCCTTTCAATTTAATCAATATCCTATTATTTGGGGGTATTACACTTAATCTCTTCCCAAGCTCCTAGGCAAGTTAGTAACTCCTTCTTTGAAATTTGTTTAGTGAGATAAGTTGGGGAAAACTCTAAAAGCAAAGGAAATGAAAATGTAACCCTTGGTTGAGTAGAGAAGTGTTCCAGTAGCATAGAAATTCAAGGTAACACATTTATAACTCATTTCTACCACTTATTGATCACTAGGTGTATTTTGTTGGTTTGCATTAGTTATGAAGCATGTGAGCATGTTCATGGTAGATTTCATTGTATGATGTTTTTTAGCATGATTATTGGCCTATAATGAACCCTCTTATCATACATAAGACTTAAATAGTGTTTGGGAACCTGAGTGGGATGTTTAGGGAAAATGAGGTGTCATTTTTGTGCCCAAACATAATATTTATGGGTTTGTGTACCGGTACTGGTAGAACTGTACTAATAATGCTTGTTGGGTATTGATACTCGAAGGTCCCTATAAAGTACATGCCAACTAATAAGTATCTAAGACGTACTTTGATTAGAACAATCCAAGATAGAAGTCACAATTGATGAAATACCACGATTTGTCCTCCCGATAACTTGCGGATAGAAACATATTCCGAACGTTGAGCTCACAAGCTAAGTGTCACACAAATAACTCTAACATACTACCTAAGGTACCCTAGATAAGACACAGGTCACATAGCGATTCTAGATCAGTCAAGGTTTCAGAGTACGTCATGAGTCATATTTAGAGTCATGTACTATTCTTAGACCCTTGTATTCAGTCATAACTCTATTTTGTTTTAAACTCTATGATATTATTTTGGATGTGTTTTGGAATCTTCCTATATTTGTAAACTTGAATATTATGTTTTTATCTTATAACTTTGATGGATGGTTTTCATACAAATATTTTACAAACGTTGGATGAGTAGAAATAGAAGTTTGAGATTAACTAATTTTTGTAACGAATATCTTCCTATAATTTTAAACTCTATGATATTATGTTTTAAACTCTGTGACATTATCTTCCTATAATTTTTTTTCAAAATTAAATCATAATAAGTATAAATAATTATAATATACAGAGAGTTAAAATCCAGTTACAAAATATAATTTTTTTTAGTTTTACACGAATTATGAATGTTGGATGAGTAGAAATAGAAGTTTGAGATTACTCATTTTTGTAACGAATATCTTTTCAGTTATTATTGTTAATTTCAACCGTCTATTTTTACTCATCCAACTGTCTTAAATATATATGAAATATATGTATAATTAAATTTGAAAATTAAATAAAGGATAATTGATAAAATAAAATAAAATTCAGATATATGTATAGAGAATATCCAATCCTTGTTCAAGGCACCTATATAAATATCTCAACTCTCAATCACTCACGAATTCCTTCTCCAACCAAGTTCTCACCAAATTGCGCATAATTTCAATGAAGTGATCCATAGTTTTTGCAACCATCGCCATCACCACCATCATAATAACCATGCATATTATGTAGGTGAAAATTAAATAAAGCCATTATAATTCAAAGAAAGACTTAAAATCATAATTAGTTGTTAAAGAAGTGATTATGTTTTAATATTCAATTATTAATCAAATACTAATTGATATACTTATAATCAATTGATTTAGAGGGCCGAATTAGTAGATCTTTCAAAGTTTAAAATTAAATAAATTGAGTTATAAAAATAATCTTTTGACGAGTCTAATAATATTTATCTGAATCAATCAGTTAATAGAACAGATAACATAACAATAACTAAAGAAAATACTCAATAACAGAATAATAAAATATTCTTTATTCGATTATTGTGATTTTAATATAGGTTTTAAGTAATTTATGTGATGGTATAGGAGCAGCTATATATCTACTTTTCTGTCTGGGCATCTTAACTTGATTATCTTATTTTTTTTTATTTTATGATATTCACGAGGCAAGGATAGCCGACGACCGACAGTTCAAAAAGCTTGAAGAATAAATTCCCAACCAACCATCCCTA